ACTAACAAAATATTCTTTAAAAATCCACGCCTAACAATAGTTCCTGAAAAATTCACATTAACGATTCCACACTTTCGAGTAGTTCTTGCAAATATAAAAGATATATAGGAACTTTGGTGCACCATTTACATGAAATCGGACGAAAATATATATGGGAGCTATATCTAAATCTGAACCGATTTTCACGAAACTTAACACACATCATTCTAGACCCAATTCAGTACACTATACCAAATTTCGTACAAATCGAAAGATATATAGGGAATTTGGTGAACCATTTATATTAAATTGGACGAAAATATATATGGGAGCTATATCTAAATCTGGACCGATTTTCAAGAAACTTAACACACCTCATTCTAGACCTAATTCATTACGCTGTGCCAAATTTCGTGCAAATCGAAAGATATATAGGCACTTTGGTGCACCATTTACATTAAATCGGACGAAAATATATATGGGAGCTATATCTAAATCTGAACCGACCTTCTCGAAAATTGGCATACATTATTCTGGAACTAATTCAGTTCGCTATGCCAAATTTCGTGCAAATCAAAACATATATAGGGACTTTGGTGCCCCATTTACATTAAATCGGACGAAAATATATATGGGAGCTATATCTAAATCTGGGGCTTTGGTACACCATTTTAATTAAATCGGACGAAAATATATATGGGAGCTATATCTAAATCTGGACTGATTTTCAGGAAACTTAACACACATCTTTCGAGACCTAATTCAGTACGCTGTGCCAAATTTCGTGCAAATCTAAAGATATATAGGCACTTTGGTGCACCATTTACCTTAAATCGGACGAAACTATATATGGAAGCTATATCTAAATCTGGACCGATTTTTCCCAATTCCAATAGGGTTCGTCCTTGGGCCAAATAAGTGAGCTGTGCATAATTTCATCCAAATTGGATAATAAATGCGACCTGTACTTTGTTTACAATTTAATATGGACAGACGGACGGACATGCATAAATCGACTTAAAAAGTGATTCTATGCATATTCTCAAAAGGAACCATGTGTCTATCTCGTTTCCTTTTGCCTGTTACAAACATATGCACAAAGACATAATACCCTGCACCACAGTGTGGTGAAGGGTATAAACACTATGCCTGTCCGATTGTCAGGAAATGTAGACTACTGAATTGAGTCTAAATTCAGTTTTCGTCAGATGTATTTTTATTTCATTTTAGGCAAATGGTACACGAAACGAAATTTTGCATTAGCTATCGTTTTAGACTACAATGCCATTTATGGAGTTTTATAGAAATCGCTTCAGATTTATATATTTTTTTTTCACTCTATTTCATGTAAATGGTCAGAATCTGGTCATTTCTTAACACTTTTTTTATAAAACTCAGACTTCAAGTGGATCTAAAAATTATTTTTAAAATATCCTGGACCCAAGAAAATATTCTTTAAAAATCCACGCCTAACAATATTTCCTGAAAAGTCCTCTTTAACAAGTCCACACATTCGGGTATTTTATTTTTAAAATCAATATTGTTGGACTTTTTAAATAAAGTATTTAAAAAAAAAATATTATAGGTTTCTACGAACCTCATATTCTCTGAAGTCTACTAACCGATATCCCATTAGTCTGTTAACTGGGAACTTCCATTTCATCGAAATTTTTATATTCTGTGAATAAAACATTATTTTTTTTTCCATAACTATTTGTGAAAATACGAAAAACAAATCCACATAATTTCCATTCACCTACATACATACACTTCGAATATACATACACATATTTATGTAGGCGATACAATGTAACATCTGTGTATACATAAATATCTACGCTTATGAAACTTTGCATACTTATGAATATTCATATTGTGAGCAGAACAACATATCCATCATAGTTCGTCAGTTTTTCATGTGTCGTCGCATTTTCATTTCATCAATATATCACCCATTCCCAATAGATAATCTCTAGTTCCTTTAGTACTAGAACTACTACCACCATTTGTAATCCATCAAATCCTTCGGCCCACTTTCATAGTTTATAGGCCGTTTTCCATTCATCTATGATTTTTTCACATCAAAATGTATATATGTGTACATATATATGTGTGTATGTATGTTTGTATACCTTTGTACATATATGTGTTAGCAGTAGTAGTTTAATAATTAATGTAGTATGTGTATGACCTTTGAACTTTTATGTTTGTTTTTTTTTTGGTGGATTTTTTTATTTTTTGGGCTGCTGCTGCTGCTGCTTCTGTTGTTTGTTTTTGGTTTTTTTTGTGGACGTTTAATATTCGGTTGCCTTTTGAGGTCCTGTCGATTGTGTGTATAATTTTTTTGATTTTTGTTGTTGATGTTGTTTTTCTTGTTGTTGTCATAGCACCATCCTGTTCATCCATTATTTATTGTGGACTTTTATTTTTTTGGGTATACGCTTTTTTATTTCCATCGTCCTGTGAGTTTTTTTTTTTCAATTACCGCTTAGGTGTAAGTTTTGTTAACACGTGTGTATGTTTTTGGGAGGGCTCCCTGTGGAGATTTTAGTACATATTGGTAACATGTGGATAAAAAGTGAGAAAGTAATGACTGTATATAAGTGATATATTTCTGAGGGTATATGTGGAATATTGGAAAAATATTTCTATCCTCTCACCACACTATGATGAAGGATATTATGTCTGTGTGTTTGTACTTAGCACTCGTGCAGGACAAAATCGGACTATCTGTCCGATTTTCACAACATTTTTTTAGATGTACATATAGCTCCCATAAAAATGTCCATCGATTTTATTTAAATAGTGCACAAAATTGACTACTTTTATCTGAATGTTATGAAATTTTACATATAGGTTATAGACTTCCGATGAACTCGGATTTTTTTTTTCTTAAATCCACATATATGATGGAAGCTCAAAAATATTTTTTTTTTAAATCCAAACTGCAGATAGACCTTTATTTTTTAAATCTACACTTCAGATGCTGAATATTTACAAACCAATAATATTATAATCTACGCTTTTGCTGGAAAAATAAATAATAATCTACTTGAGGAAAAATAAATAAAAAAACGAGTAAGGAATGTAGTAAAGTCGGACTGGGCCGACTATATGATACCCTTCACCACTTTGGGTATATTGTACATATGTATCCTTACAATTGAATGTCAGTGTTCCTTCGAAGGAACATACTCATCTCATTCTGCAACCTATGATAAAATGAATTTCATTCGGGCAGTTTTGGAGCCGTCTGCGTATTATGGGACACGATTTATAGCCAACATTGATACACGCTATTCATCACACCGCATTATTAAAAATTTAATTTAAATTTAATTCCAATCAGACACCCGTTTGAAATACATATGGAAGCTATGGCTGCATATGCACCAATTTCAACAAACCGCAATGACGTCATTCAAGTCTCAATTTGATACGTTGTGCACAATTTCGAGTTAATCGGACAAATTTTAGGAGTTTGGTGTACCATTTATATAAAATCGGACGAAAATATATATGAAAGCTATCTGTAAATCCGATTTTCACAAAATTTAACACACATCTTTCCAGACTTAATTCAGTACGCTACGCCAAATTTCGTGCCAATCGAAGGATATATATGGGATTTGGTGCAACATTTACATAAAATCTGGCGAATATATATATATATATATGGGAGTTATATCGAAATCTGAACCGATTTTCACGAATCTCACTACTCATCATTTTAGACTCGATTCAGTAACGCTATGTCAAATTTCGTGCAAATCGAAGGATATGCAGGTACTTTGGTGCACTATTTACCTAAAATCGGACGAAAATATATATGGGAGCTACATCTAAATATGAACAGATTTTTCCCAATTTCAATAGGGTTCGTCCTAGGGCCAAATAAATATATATATATCTGCTACCTGTACTTTGTTTACAATTTAACATGGACAGACAGACAGACAGACGGACGGACATGCATAAACCCTTTTTTTCTGTAGAAAAACAATGGAAACCTTTGGCCTCAGAATTTTTTTCTATAGAAAAACAATGGAAACCTTTGGTCTCCGAATTTTTTTTCTATAGAAATACAATGCATATCATTTAAATATGTTTATATCCCTGATCCCCGATTTTTTTCTTTTTCTGCAGAAAAAAAAACAATGGAAATCTATGATCTCCGATTTTTTTCTATAGAAAAACAATGGAAACCTTGGGTCTCCGAATTTTTTTTCTATAGAAAAACAATGGAAGGCCCTTTTTTCTGTAGAAAAACAATGGAAACCTTTGGCCTCCGAATTTTTTTCTACAGAAAAACAATGGAAACCTTTGGTCTCCGAATTTTTTTTTCTATAGAAAAACAATGAAAACCTGTGGTCTCCAAATTTTTTTTCTATAGAAAAAAGGGGTCTTCGATTTTTTTCTATAAAAAAAAACAGGAAAACAGTGGAAACCGTTGGTCTCCGAATTTTTGAGACATTTCAAAAATAATTTTGCTGACTGGGTTCTATGTCTATAACAACGAAATTTTGAGTAGAATTGAAGTCTATTTAGTTTTTATTTTAAAATTAGTTAGATATGGTATTTTTAAAATTTATAAAATTCAGTTTGTAGTGAAGTAGTCGTAAAATTATTTTTTTTTTCTAATTTTTTTTTTTCTTTTCAAATCATCATTACATTTTTAATAATTTATTTCTCGTTAATTTTGTATCTAGTATGTTTTATATTTATTAATTTATTTGTTTTTCTATTTTTATAAAAATCTTAAATAAAAAAACGTCACCAAAATAAAATTTCTCAACAAAAAAATATTAAAAAATAATTCTATAAGAAACCCAAAATTCTCAATGCATTCCTTATAAGTTTCAAATCACCAAAAAGAAAATAATTTGCAAAACATTTAAATTAAAAATTGAATTAAAACAAAAACAAGAAAACATTTTTTTCACGTTAGAAAGAAAAGAAAGCTAATTTTGTCAATACCAACAAAAATACAACAACAAATCACAACAACCTAAAACAAAAAGAAAAAGAAAACGTGGTATCAATCCTCTTGTCTTTTCTTTTCTTGCTGCAGGTCACAATCATTCCGGCAAGGGCCATTGAATGCAAGTAGCCGAAGTCAGTCGCATACCTATGTGAATTCCAGCATTTCAGCCAATCCCTTACTCCCAATTGATACCGGTTTGTATTTGGTTTTTAAGTTTTTTATTTTATTTTTATTGATTATTAAATATAATTTTTTAATTAAAATTTAATTTATTCAATAATTTTTTAATTTTTATTTTTTGATTTTTTTATAATTTATAAAAAAATATTTTTTTTCCACAATTGGCCCACCTTAAATATAATTTTATTTAATAAAACATTTTATTTTTTTCTGTCTGTGTGTGTGCCAAGCAGCAGCCTGGGATTATCGCAATCAATGCACCGACTCGATGACGCCTTCTCTGACGAAGAGGGCAGCGGATACCTTGGATCGCCGACACGACAATCCTACCGACCGCAAGCATTCTCAAGTAACATTTCTTGGCATTAATTGTTCTTCTCGATCTGTTAATAAAATATTTTGATTCACCCTTGCAGGTCACAGTAGCCCAGGCGGAGATCTATCAGACGAAGAATTATGCCTCGGAATCGCCAACCTCGGCGGAACAATTACACCACTCGGCAGCGGGTGTGCCGTCGGACCATCAAATGAATGCGAATCGCTCTGCTTCGCCACAGGGTCCGCAATCATGGACTTCACCCCAACACAGCAACAACACCACTCAGCATCTAACACACCAACAGCAGCGCGGCCACGATCAGGCTCGTGTGCATCAAAGCGATCACAATTTAGGTAAGTCCATCGTAATCGATATTACATTCCGAAAACCAAGTTTCTTCTTGCATGATCTATTTTTTATAAAGAATTTTTTGAATAATTTTTTCTATATGATTTGTAGTGAAATTTTCTTTAAAAATTATTTTTATGAAAATATATTTTCTTAAGATTTGGTCATCCTCTTCTATATTTTATGTTTAAAGCCCTAAATAATCCTGGAAATCCCTCATAATCTACGTTTTATTAAGATGAAGATTTTATGGGATGCTAGAGAAGCCAATGATTGACTTCGAAGTCCTCAATTTCTACCAAATATAACTGAGGTCTAGACATTTTGAGGTCTCCGAACTCTATTGTCTTTAGAAAGTGTGAGACCTGAGATTTCCGATGTTTCTTCTGTAGAAAAACAATGAAACCTGTGGTATTCGAATTTTTCTCTATAGAAACCTAAGGTCCCGATTTTTTTTCTATAGACAAAATGAAAATCTGAGGTCTCCGATTTTTTTCTATATAAAACAATGAAAACCTGAGGTATCCGATATGTTTTCTATAGAAAAACAATGAAAACTTGGAATCTCCGAATAGTTCTCAAAAAAAAAAAAACAATGGAAACCTGAGGTCTCCGAATTTTTTTCTATAGAAAAACAATGGAAACCTGAGGTCTCCGAATTTTTTTCTATAGAAAAACAATGGAAACCTGAGGTCTCCGAATTTTTTTCTATAGAAAAACAATGGAAACCTGAGGTCTCCGAATTTTTTTCTATAGAAAAACAATGGAGACCTGGGGCACCCGATTTTTTTTCTATAGAAAAACAATGGAAACCTGGGGTCTCTGAATTTTTTTCTATAGAAAAACAATGGAAACCTGAGGTCTCCGAATATTTTCTATAGAAAAACAATGGAAACCAGAGGTATTCGAATATTTTCTATAGAAAAACAATGGAAATTTGTGGTCTCCGATTTTTTTCTATAGAAAAACAATGGAAACCTGAAGTTTCCAAATTTTTTCTATAGAAAAACAATGGAAACCTCTGGTCTCCGAGTGAAAACCTGAGGTCTCCGAATTTTTTCTATTGAAAAACAATGGAAGCCTGAAAAAAACTATGGAAGCCTATCGAAAAACAATGTAAACCAGGGGTCTCCGATTTTTTTCTATTGAAAAACAATGGAATCCTGAGGTCTTTGATTTTTGTTCTATAGAAAAAAGACACCTCAGGGGACCTGAGCAATTTTTTTTCTATGGAAAAAAGACACCTCAGGGGACCTGAGGAATTTTATTTAAAAAAAGACACCTCAGGGGACCTGAGCGAATTTTTTCTATAGAAAAAAGAAACCTCAGTACACCTGAGCGATTTTTTATCTATAGAATAAAGACACCCTCAGGGGACCTGAGCGAATTTCTTTTATAGAAAAAATACACTTCACTACTTTTTTCTATAGAAAAAAGACACACCAGGAACCTGAGCGAATGTAATCTAAAACAAATCGGAAACCGCAGCTTTCCTTTGCTTTTCTGTAGAAAATAATGAAAGGCCTCAGGCTTCCATTGTTTTTCTATAGAAAAAAATCGCTCAGCTCCCTTGAGGGCGTCTTTTTTTATAAAAAAAAAAACGGTTAAGCTCCCCTGAGGATGTCTTTTTTCTATGGTCGGGTCGCCTGATGTATCTATTTTCTATAGAAAAAAATTCATCAGGTCCCCTGAGGTATCTATTTTTCTCTCAGGTTCATTATTTTATTTTATCCTTAACTGAAAGTGTCCTCTTTATTCATTTTAGTGTCAATTTTATTTGATTTTAAAAAAGTGAAAAAACTCTAGTGCATGCCTTTAAAAAAAAGTTTTCTTTTCAAAAAAAAAGTTTCCGTTTGTTTTTCGAAAAATATATCCTTGGTTCCAGTTATGTTTCGTTGTGGTTTGTATATTTTTCCATACCAATATTGGGAAATTGTAATTCAATAATATTTTCCAATTTTGCTTTAATACTTTCCAAAAAAAAAAAAATCATGCCAACCGGATAATGTGCGTATGTGTGTGCGTGGATACAGGTCTGAGCCACTTGTCCCACTTGTACAGCAGCAACACCCCTCGTCGAGTCTCAGTGGCATCGCAGGCGTTTGTGCCTGTTACGCCCCCGCCGCTGCAGCACAGCAGCAATGTCAACACCATCACCACCAGCAACAACACCAACAACTACCTACGCTCTATCACCACCAATACGGTGGGTCTCTCAGTGGATCTCAGCAGCTCTATGGAATTGGATCAGGAGGAGGTGGAGGCCCTGGAGCAGCAGGAGCTGGAATTGCAGCAGGACTTGCACATGGTGGACCAGCAGCACCAGGTGGAATTGCTGGAATCGGATTTGCCCGAGGAGGAAGTGGATTCGGACTTGACACAATCTACCATCAATCGGGAGAGTATGCATACGGCAGTATCGGCAGTGGGCCCGGCCTCATCGGCGGTGGTGGCAACAATAATTGCCCCTCCTCCGCCGCATCGGTTACCGGAGTCCCCATCTCACACAACAGCGGCGGCGGCAGCATCGGCCACCCCAATTCATTATAGCAGTACCAATTATTCGATGTCTAAACAGTGCATGTTAAATAATAACGCAACCTCGACGGAAACCGAAACAGACAACATTATCTATTCGGATATACACGACCTGCATCCGTATAAATATCCCGACTTCCAAAAATCCACCTCGAGTGTTAAGCTCGAGAATAAATTGACAAATAGTGAGACGGTAAATCTGAATGATCGCAATGACATCTATGCAACGGTAAATCGTAAAACAAAGGCGAAGACACGCGAAAAACATTTCTCCGATGAGTTTATCGATGAGAGTATCCTGCAGTATACCCGCTCGAAGCAATTGGGTATGGCTGCGGATATTCGCATGCCGGTTAGTTGTAATACCTTGACAGAACATGATCTCAATGAGAGGGGGGATACATTTGGCGGGGTGCCTCCTCTGCTACAGTATCAGCAACCACAATATCACAATGATTTAAATCATCCTTCGGATTCGTCCTCCTCGTATTTTGGTACCGGGTTCAATACCAAGCGTTATGCTAACACCCTAAATACGGAGAGGGTTAAATTGGCATTTTCGGAAAATTATCTAAATCCCTCGATGGATTCACAAAGTTCGACCTCAGTTAATAACATGCCTAGACATACCCATTCCTTGCCTAGAAATTCCGAACTGTCCGGCGTAGATTCTGTAGATAGTTATGATAGTCACTATGTGACCCATCATTCGGTGGGCCATTTGCACAAGAGTAGTTCGAATATACCACCACCAGTAGTCTTAGGTTCGCATGTGGCGGCGGGATATCGTTCATCAATGTATCAGCATCATAATATGCCGGGTGTGGGCGTTGGAATTGGCATGGATCTGCAGCAGCAGCAACAACATCATAAATCCATCCACCCCACAATTGATGATCGCAGCTCATCGGGCTCCCCCTTGGATCGCTTTAAAACCTCCTCGGAAAAATTGGAATATCAAATGTCCTCTTCGAATTTATATTCCACAGCTTCGTATAACAAGACCCCTCCACCAGGGGTGGGCTACTCCAGTGAAAGTCGTGACGAGGAGGATGACGAAGACGACGATGATGATGACGACGATGAGGATGATGTCGAAGAGTTACGCCGCCGGGTTATGGTGGAGAACATATACGACCAAGTGGAAAAGGAATCCTGGTTGAAAAGTTCTTCTTGCAAAGATCTTTACGATTTCTCCCACTACGACAGGGAACAATCGAAACCGATGACCGCTTTTGATAAGGAATTCTTTTCATTTAATCGTATTGATTCTCCGGTCACGCGTTACGACGACTCACGTCACTCGCTGTATTTCACCAAGAATCATAGCATCGATGCCACCCAAGATTTCTCACCCCTAGCCCATTCCAAAGTGTATTCCTCTAGTTATCCCGGCACCACCTATAATTCCCAGGTACATCATAGTCATCGGGCCGGCCATCGTCATGGTTATGGCCATCACGTGGACTACTGTGGGTCTCAAGATGATATTTCTCAGGACAGTTATGAGCTATTGGAAAAATATGATATTGATTTCTTTAGTGGTCGTCGTCGTTCCGAAGATCATATGCGTTCGTGTTCGCTGGATTCGGGTAATTATATACCCACCGATGATGAATCGGTATCGGAACATCATAAATATCGTTCGGCCATGGATGTGAAATGTAAATCGGCTGCGGAGTTGATGAATGAAATATGGGATATGGAGGATCCCAGGTATCTACCACGTGAAAAATTATCGGTAAAATCGGATGGTAATTTTTACAAGAAAATCAAAGGAAATTTATCGAGGACCTCTAGCCAGGAGTCACGTTCCGATATCTATGAAACCAAAATCTCAAGGAGTTCCGATTCAAGTAAAAAATCCAGGGACAGTTTGTACCACACGGATAGCAAAAAATCCAGAGAGACCACAAAATCAAAGAACTCCGAGGTCTCCAGTCAGGATTCCAAAGAATCGCTGATTGGTGATTATTTGGGTAAGAACTATGAAATGCCCACCACCACGGGTAAGGGTTACAAGCATCTAAGTAAAAAAGAGAAATTCGAAAAGTTTCTGCAATCCAGCCAGGAATCAAAATCTGATTATTATGATGCTGTGGAAACGGTGGAACCAGCGGCTGATGGTTTGAGTGTAAGACCCAAGGTGAAATCTCACGATTGTTTACTCTCCGATACCCAGGGATCCTCGGTGAATAGTTCATTTTATGATAGCCGTGATACCTACTCCACTTTCCCCAGTAACAAATCTGCCAAGACCTCTAAGGTCCATTCGATCAGCTTGCAAAATGTCGAAATTGAGCGCAATGCCAAATCCTTTGGTAGTAAATCTCCCGACTCGGCCAATACCCCCAAGCGAAAGGAGGAAAAAGAAATACAAACCAATGATTCGATTGACCAGACAGCACCATTTAAGAAATCCGATTCTCAGTCTTGTAAAATGTCAGCCTTTCGCCGTAGATCGGATAGTGAGAATATTTTTAGCTTCGATCGTGATCGTATTGAGTGTATTCAGAATTATGGTAAACAATGGGAGTCACCGGGTAAGGAGGAGAAAACCAAGCAGAGTCCAGAATATCCCCTCACACCAGAATTGGTATCGGAGTTTGAGAAGCAACAGGCCAGGATAATGAATCAGAAAATCACACGCAAAGAGGAGTTGATGGCCAAGACTCATTTCGAGGAATATAATCCGATTATGGTACCCTTGAACTATGCCCATGCCACAGTGGAGAGAACCAAAAGTGACCCGAACTCTTTGGCGAATCGTAATCGTTTGGGTAGCAATTCGCGACGACATGTCCTGATGCATCAAAAATCCATTGATTTGACCCCAGCCGACTCCAGTGATGAGGATTATATTTACAAACAAATACCCAGTGCCCCGCCTCTCTGCAAGGCCCATGGTAACTTTGAAATACCCAAATGCTACGATTCTCCCCTGAAATCTGCAGATATACCCAAAATGGGCTTTGAAATGCCCAAGTCCTTTTTCCGGGAATATGAACGACGTTTCACAAAGGTCCTTAAGGAAGATATTCCCTATGTCCTGCACAAGAGGCATATTATGAATGGCACAGCCCCCTCACCGGTGGAAAAGAAATACAGCAAGCCGAAGTCTCCCAAATCGCCGAAGTCACCAAAATCTCCTAAATCACCAAAGTCCCCGAAGTCTCCCAAAGCCAGCGATGTGGCTAAGGGGTTGTTACAACCTGACACAGATTTTTTGCCGGATATATTGGATAGCCTATTGCCGGCCGAGACCAAGGAGTTTCTTTTTACCCAAAACATTGATCTCTCTAAGGTGGATCCGATTACTCTCGAAGTGGACAAGACCATACCCATTATACAGCTGTCCTCACCCACCAAGCGGGGTGGAGATATTACCCAACAAATTGAACCTTCATTGCTGGAGAAGCTGAACAAGAAACTAAGCCAAATCGAAAGTGATTCGGCGACCAGTTCGAGGACCGAGTCCTTGCAACAACAAAAAAATAAATTGGAACAAAAACAAATTGAGTTGATACAAAGTTTGAGGGCGGAATTGGCCGCCAATGCCAGGAAGACTTTGAAAGCTCGAGTCATACCCAAAACCAAGGTTACAGGGAAACCCAAGAAGGCCAAGACAAGGATAACCTCATTTTCCTCAGATGATGAAAGTTTGGATTCAGATGATGTGTTCGGTTCGGCGGAGGCCATACCAGATCGTTTGGAATTTTCCCCGCCACAGTCGAGAAAGGAAATTGAACCGATTTTGAGAATCGAACAAAGCCGTCTCATTTCCGCTGCCTGGGGTAGGGGCCAGACAATGAGTTCTACGGAAATTGAGGGTTCTCCACCCCAATGTCGACGCTTGGCAGAGCTGGAAAGTCGTTATCATACACAAAAGTTAGATCCCCACTATGCCAATGCCAGTGAGTTGAGGAGGATCTCAGAACGTTCCATATCCATACCATCCTCGGAAGATGAGCCACCTCATGTACCATATCGCTCACGCATGGATGAGTGCACCAACGACTATCAACGTAATGAGAATATACCCTCTCCCATCCTGGAACACACTGAGTTCTTTAGGAGCAACGATGATATCTATGAGACATGTCATGAGGAAAGAATAACAGAAATGGGTATCGATTATACGTTGAAAAAGAAGACCTCCACTTCGGGAACGGTAATTCGAGTGGATAAGACCAAATCCGCCAAGGTGAAATTATTGGATGAGGTCATTGACTCCTCAATGGTTATGCGTTCGAAGGGTCATGCTCCCATATTGTTTGCCCATGCCAGGCTTAACCTTTCCGAAGGTTCGGCAGTCTCACTGCAAAGACAAAAATCCGCCTTGGAGTCACCAACCACGGAGAGGAGGACCAAGAGTTTAGATACCCCGGTGATATCGCTACATCGTTTACCACACATGAATGCCTTCTCCTCCAAAGATGACACCGTGGGCTTTGAGGAGGAGGCTGAAATATTGGAAGAAAAGTCTTTGGAACAGGCCAAATCGGCTCAGGATGAGGATACGGCGGATAGTGTACACTCTTGTGCTGGGTCTATACCCACCCAAACTTCGTATGCCTCAGTGGGCAAGGATTCGCTACTTAGTGCAGTGACCATAGACGATGAGGAGATACAACTCCTGGATCAATTGAAATATATTGAAAAAATTGCCCTGCAGGGTGTGAAAATTAAAGATAAAAAGAAATCCAAAATGAAACTGAAGAGTGGAGATCATTTGATCTTAAATATACCGAAATATAGATTCACCGATTGGTCACCATATAGCTCAGCAAATAGTTCCAGGAAAACTTCGCCGGGGGTTTCGCGGGCCAGCAGCATTGAGAGTACGGGTAAGGGGAAATTGAAACTCAGTATGGGTGAGGTAAGTGGTCGGAAGGCGGCGGGAGGTTCCAGATCGAGGCCTGAGTCACGGCGCACAAGTGCTGATGATATCAAAAAGGAGGGTGCAAAGGGTAAGAAAACCAGTCCCAAGGAGCGGCCCAGGAGCATTGAAACCCGCCGCTTGAGTAAGGATAAAAGTAAGAGCCAAGAGGAGACCGAGGCCGATGTGGCCAAACGCAAGGAGCGACAACAAAAGCTCTACGAATCGGCCATGAAACAAACCATTACCATGTTGAGTCCCGTCAAGGACACCTTGCCACCTTTCCCGGCGCCAGAAGATAAAATCTCCGTAAAAACGGAAGGAGATAAAATCATCATTGAAACAGAATTTAAAAGCAAAGCAGAGGACCATGTTCTCATTGCAAAGTCACCCAGAAAATTGGACACCTCTCTCACCAAATTTAGTCGCAGTTTTGATGAGGGTCGCAGTCCCGATAAGTTAGATAAAGCCAGTCGTAGTTTTGAGGATCGCAACAAGTCCTTTGAGAATTCCGAAATGTCTGATGTACCCGATGATATGGTCATTAAGTCCCCCAAAAAGATAGCCAAGAGTCAGGAGATGAAACAGAAGATTGAAGGCCCCGTGGTGGTGAGTACGAATAAAATCGACATCAAGTCAAGTAGTTTGGAAAAGCCACACATTACCGAACCACATTTGCTGGGTGCCGAGGTTAAGGCCCGCAGTTTGGATGACAAGAAACCAGAGGTAAAGAAGGTGGAAGAGAAGGCACCACTACGCAGTGCAATTGGAGATCGCCGAATGTTCGCCCATCAATATAATGTCCAAGAGGACATAGATATGCAAGCTGTCATCTCCGAACGTAGATCGCTGGAAATATTAAAGCGATCACTACCCTCGGAGGATACCAGGGATAGTGATTGTACCTATAGCCGTAAGGCTTCGACGGCAGATAGTTTGGATTCCTTCGTGTCGGCCGATGACAGTCATTCCCCGGCCAGTAAGTCACCCATACCTCATCAAGAGGGTGGCTATCCACATCGGGTGCCAACCATTGAATGTGAAGAGGCCTCCATTGAGGAGGATGATAGTTCGAGACATTTGAAGGTGTCGCGTATGGACACCAATCGCCTGAGTTTGGACCGCAGTCGTAGTGATGAAACCGGTTCCTGGATGACGGTGGAATGTGATGAATTTGTGGGTTCAGATACTTCGGAAAATGAACCTCGAACATTGGAGCCCGATCGCAATGTCCTCGAGACCCAGGCCACATTGGATGATGCTGTACCCCTAGAGTATTCCAATTGTGCCACACCCACATCGGATTTAAATATTTTGGTAACACCACCCAATACCAGTCCCATGGCCGAGAAAAACATCCTGGAATCATTTGAAAAACAACAGCAGCAACAGACGGAACAAACGGAAACGAAACGTAAACCTTTGCTCGAGAAACAAAGTGATAAATCGAAGAGTTCGGATTCCTGGACTAGTGGGGAGAAGGATGTAAGTCCGGCGAGAGGAGAAAAGGGTGATTGGAGTCTGTCGGTTAGTGGTGGGCGGGAGAAAAGCTCCATGGAAGAAGAATCAAGTGTTAGCTGTTCCATTGCCAGACCCTTGGGCATATCGCAGGATTTTGGAGATTTGGATAACAAAAAATGTCAGGAACTCAAGGAGAAAATGTTGAAATTGGAGGTGGATGCCAATGCAGGTGGAGGAACAGATATTAAATTCCATAGTCCCAGTTCCAGCAAAGATGTTACACCCACCAATGAAACGGCCCCGGAAATCCCCAAGCCAATGGGTAAGAAACCCACCACTCCCACTTTGGAGAAGCAGAGTCCCATTGATTTTGGTAATAGCGTGGAATCCTATTTGGATGCCCTGGAGGAAAAGGCCAATAAGGAAAGTTCTCCATCAACAAAAGAGGAACAGGATGGCAAAGAACCACATGAAATGACAAGTGGAAATGGAACTGGGGCTGTGGTGGTCAAAGAAAAGAAATTACCCAAAATTGAAAAACCTGCCAGGAAATTGGCAGTCAATAAAGCCGCTGAGGGTGCGGGAGATAAAGCCAAATCCGGTAGCAGCTCTCAGGAATCCAAATCCAGTTTTGATTCCAAAGGTTCGTTGAGTGTCGAGTCACGAGGTTCTTTTGAAACGGAGAGCAGCTCCGGATCTATGGGTGCGGCCCATCGCCGTGGTGAGTTACTGATGAAGGAACAACAATCCACCTGGAAACCATTCCCCATAGAAAGTTCGAATAGCTCCAGTACCGATGACCCATGGCATCACGTTGAAACCGATGGTGGTTATGAACGATTTGATACCAACAATCCGCAAAGGGATTCCTCCGATAGTGAACTCAAAGAAGTTTCACCCGATGAACAAAAGGAAAGTGATACCAGTTTTCAGGATGAACTCAATGATTTTCCCACAACATTTGGTTATCCGGCCATGACCAGTTCGCTAAATGGTATTGGCGTGAATCCCACAGACATTATTGGCTATAGTTCAGGATTTACTTTGGGGCGTACCCTGTCCAGGATTTCCGAACGTAGCACCGCCTCTGAGAAGTCAAGTATGGATGATGATAAGGCCTCTACGCATTCGATGAGTATTCACGAGGAATCTATTGGTTCGGCAACAGACCATCAGGCCAGTCTTAGTTCGGATTCGAGGAGTAATACAAACTTAAATTATATCTCCGATACAGATCGCAGAACCTCAGCAGAAATGCCGGATATACCATGTGATTCGGCAACGGGAGATCGTAGCAATAGCAGTTTTAATGAACCCAAATCTCCCACACGGGTGACTGGTAGATTTTCCGTGACTCATGTCGATGAACAGGGTGGGGAAGGAGAGGATCGTCCTACACTTATGTGTCTTTCCAATGCTGGCAGCCAGGATTCCGAAGATTGGCCTTTGCCGGAAATACCCTATGACCATGTGCCGGTGAAACCCATCGACTCTCTATATGAAATACCCGATTTGGATAAGCCGGTACCAAAATCATTCTGCTGGAAAGCTGGTATGTCATTTCCCTCAGAAGATTCCCAGGATTGGCCAACACCACCTTCCAGTGCCGCCGGGACCCCAGTCGTTGTGGAAGATATTGAAACCTATTTCACTTCGGAGGCCCAAAAGGCGGATCAAGTAATGGTAGAGTCCTTTACCACCACAGAGCGTACCGATGATGAGGCAGAGGATAAACTGTCTTTGGAAGATTTCCCAATATCACCACCTGAAATGGCCAAGGTTATACCCTATGAAGATACCGCCTACCTAATGTCCTCTGCCTTTGAGGATAAAGATTTTGGGGCAGATGATTATCAGCACGATACGGCGGCTGCAACATGTTTGAGTTCGACCTTGAATGCTGCAACCTGCCTATCGAACTCCTTCAATGTATCATGTTCCTCATCCTCTCCCAAGGGACCAAGATCTACATCGTTGAGGAAAGATTCGAGTGCGGAAACCGTTATCATGGCACAGCCCACAAGATCCCCAGCACCCAGGTCACCCCTCTCCGAAGAGGAGGTATTCTCCAATGATGAAGTATTCATGCCGGGCACAATTAAGGTCCAATTATCGCCTGATGAAACCAAGACCCAGGAATACATAAGGAAATTATCGAGAGGCTCCAATAACTCCGACACCTCCATAGATGACATATTGTCTCCCACCACCGGCACCGTCAGACATAATTACGAACATCGTCTCAGTTCGGGTAGCTGTCGTAAATGTAGCCATTCCAGTCACTCCGAGGAGGATACCAGTTCCATTGGCACAGATTTGGATGGTACCGTGCGCATGGGCATGCAAAAGAAATGTACTCATAGCTCTCATTCGGAAGACACTTCCATTGGATTGAGTATATCCGATTGGTCGACCGGCACCAATACGGTAAGGCAATATGCCAATCTTTCCGGCTCGGATAGTCTTTCGGCAGTGTCGAATTTATCATGTGCCAAATCGGAAAAATCCAATCAAACTCGATCGAGTCTAAGTTCCATAAATAAATCGGCGGAAAGTTTGTGTGATAATGGCTCTTCGGATGGACTGCGCTATGATATGCTGTCCAGTTCGGAAACGGATAAAATGTCCGATACCACATCGGCTACCAAGAGTGATGACACCACTCTCACTTTGACCGAAATGGCCCAGACCATGTCTGAGTGGTCTACCTCAAGTAGCCGAACACTGGTGGGACCAGCTCCGGGTGATGTTAATGATCAAATGAATGGTCGCAGGGCCAGCTACATTGACTACCAACCCTTGAAGTACCACAAGACCGGAAGTCGTGAGAAAAATGAGGATGAGAAGAGGGGATCCCTACCCCAAATCCATCGACGAAGCAGCAGTAATGGTCTGCAGCGTATGAGTAATGAAGATTTGGCCCAAAAGCCTACCACCTCCGGTAAATCGAGTAATGAACCTGCTCGTCCTGGTATGCCGGTACGTATCACCGGTAAAGATGATATGGCCGAGACCACAGCGGCCAGGAAACGACGTTCTCTGGAAATGATGTCGAAGCGTTATCAAAGCCAGGAATTATGTTCGGAAAGTGAGTCATTTGTTGAGCGGCTATATGCACCAAGTGAAAAGTTAACTGAACGCTATCAAAGTCAGGAATTTGTACCATTACATGGTACGCCGGGACAACCTCCTGCCACAGCTCCAAAACCGGTGAAAGGAAAAGCACCACAACCTCCTCAGGCGGGAGGCACAAAACCCAAGGCTCCACAACCACCACCCAAGCCAACAAAACCCAAAATGTCAGTAACCCAACCTTTGATGCAGGCCCTCCTCAGACATATGAAAGAGCCGGGAGTGGCTGAGGCTGCAGCGGCTCAGGCAGCAGCTGAGGAGGAAGCAGCCGCAGCTGAAAAACAAAAACAAGCTGAGGAGCTGAAAAAAGCCAAACCTCCACCACCACCCATACCACCCCTGCCACCCATTACCTCACCCACAGATTTGCCCGAAACCGAAATTGGGCCACCGGGTGAAAAACCCCTGGCCAAACATCACAGTTACGACGACAAAACTCTGTCCAAATCCCAAATCAGGGAATACAAAACCAACAAAGTCAGACAATCGAATTCGTTCCATGAGCACATGCTCACGCAGTCTCAACAATCATCGATCGAATCCATGCCGGCCTCTCGTATAGATGAGGAATTAAACTCAACTACCGGAGGAGGAGGAGGCGCAGCTACCTCCTCCTCATTTACATCGACAACGACAACCACCACCATCAACAGTGGCAATACAACGAGTAATGAAACCAACACCACCACCTCCTCACCCATGTTACCCTCTCGAGCGGAAAAACTCATCAAATGTTCTCCCTATTATTCGAGTAGCCTCAGCTCCGAATCGCCACCCAATCAGCTGATACAAAAACCACCACGCAAAGGTTCAATTTCACGCACGGCACCCATCATCAAGTCACCACCCAGTGGCAATGATACCGACAGCTCGGTAGATGTTCGCACCCAAGATCCGAAATTACGAACACGAGGCTATCGCAAAAAGCGGCAAATCACCGCCAAGCGCGTACGATCTTCTGAGAGAAATCTCGTTGAACAGGAAAGTTCCGAATGTTCAGAGGGCTATATGCCCGAAATGGACTCTGGAGGTTCAGATCCTTCCTATCGACATAGCGAATACTATGAATTCGACGAAGAGCTGGAGGAACGTGAACAGGAAACAGATGAATATGATGATTATCCGCAATATTCGGGTGTGGCCTTTTCATCAACATCATCGGCCTTCGAGAGTCTGGATATGACGGCGGATAATGTTGATGAAATGGGTTTTCCACGCTATGATCGGTTGAGTCACATCACCAATCCCATATATCAGCAACAGTCGCATCAGTTCCAACAAACGAGAATGTCGGCTGCGGCTGCCTCCTCCCATCACTACCACCAGGGAGGCGGTGGAGGAGGTGGCACCGGCGGCAGTAGTGCTAGTAGTAGTAGCAGTAGACCAGCACCAGCCAACCATCCCATGCCACCACCCTCTGGGCAACCCATTAAACCGGCTCGCACCAAAAAACGCCAACTGAAACGTGAAGATTCGGTAATGGGTTCCCAGTCCCAATCCTCCGCCGCACCATATGGCTCCGGTTCATCGGGGCAATATCATGGCCGTTCCTATTGTAATCCGGAAGAGAGTGAATTTGAAACGAAGGGTGGTCTATCTGATGATATGGCCAATAGTAGTGAGGATAGTAATAATAGTTTCTATCACTGTACTGGTACCATTAAACGTTCCACAATGGCGGCTATGGCTGCTGCAGCGGCTGCCGCAAATAAATCGGCCGCCAGCAGCAGTGGTAGCAGCACTGCAAGTAGATCTGTAGATTGTGGTGCGGCAGGTGGTACCACGTCCAGTGGTAGTGTACGTGATCAGCGACGTAAGTCCAAATCAAGTGATCTCGATTTGCCATATCCGGATTTTCTATCCGACTATGAAACCGAACCCATAGAATATGAACGTTTTGCCTGTGGCCTAGATATACGCGTAGATCCACCACCGAAATTCCATGATTCTGATGATTTGAGTGATCAATAAGACGAAGATTTCTGATAGATACGAAAAATTAAGAAATTATGAAAAAGAACGGTTGGAACGAAGTTCTTACTAACATACAGAAAACAAATGGGTTGTTAATTTTTTTAGGTCCTCATAGGGTATATTTTAACCAAAAAAATATTGAAATAAAGGATAATGCGAATCTAACAAAACTGAGAGTGTTAAAAACTAAAATTAATGTTTTATTAACTAGGAAGTGAGAGTAAGAATCGGAGAGAAAGAGAATATTAAAAGTGGTGAGAATGCAAACTATTGTCTCTCACTAAATTAGAAGGAGATTTTACCCATATATTCATGGGTTTGATTTTGAGTTTTAATACAAAGAGCTCAAGTCATAAACCAGGCAACTAGCAAAATATTACACTCGAAAAGAAATGTGTGTTGTAGTTAAAGTAAATGAATATTTAAATATAAGGGTTTCTCACAGAACCTAAAATAGGCTCGTCGTTCTAGGCCCAGGAAATTAAAGGGTTTGTTTTTTCAAAACGGTGGTGTATTAAAAAAATAGGTCCATTTCAATACCAAGGATGTGCTTCATGTCTAGACTTATTCTACTGATGGTTAAACATTAAAAAAAAATAATTTTTATTATTATTAACAACAACAATGCAACAATTTTGTGAACAGCTACAACAACAACAATTCCTTTTTAATTCCCAACAACAACAAAAAATGTTTATTTTCTTTGAGACTGATTTTCATTCCTCTTGAAACAAAAAAAAAACAAACAAAAAACCAAAACGAAAATTATAACCAACAAGACAAGTTTTAAACAGAAACAAAACCAATAGTTTTTTTAATTAAATAATAAATGTATTAATATTTTAAAAAGGTTAAAATAATTAACCAAAAAAAAAAAATGAGAGAAAATAAATATTATTCCCCCTCCCCCCAAAAAACAAAGAAACAAAACAGAGATCATCTACAATAATCAAGAAAAGAAAACAAACTAGCAAAAATATACACTCGAGAAGAAATGTGCGTTGTAATTAAATATAATGAATATTTAGAAACAAAAGAAGAGTTACCAGGATGAGGAGGAGGAGGTGGAGAATTTCGGTTCAGAGGGGGTTTTAATTGGAAAATATTATTAAGGGAACCCCCCACCATTCTCGATTTTAATTTTTCAAGATTTTCAATGGGCTGGTAAATCAATATCAATGTTTGTTAATGTTTGTAACTTTGCACATATATATTTGAAGATTTAAAAGAGAAGAAAAATAATTTACAAACAATTTTTGTTATTGTTTTGTTGTTGTTTTTTTGTAATTAAAGAAAAGTCCTTATTTTTCATGGCGGGCATGATAACTCCCCACTGGAACATCGGAATCCGAAAATTCCAACGGTGTTAGAAAGAGCACATGTCTGTCTCTCGTATGAACTAGGATTATTGTCTTCGCTCTAAAATTAACAAAATGGCGGACCTTTGAAAAATATTTTTGGAAAATCGCCGATTTTTTACCAAAAATCAAGTTAAAAACCAGTGAGCGGAGCAGTATAGTCGGACGGGGCCGACCATATAATACCCTACACAACTTCCACGAAAATCTAACTTGGCGTTATTTGCACCCTCTGGAAACCTGACTAAAGATCAACATATATTACTAATATTCAGTAGACGAGGGCTGTACTTGTCCAGAATCACTTTGCCGTGGGTTAGGTTGTGATGTTCGAATTATAATTGTGGCCTATAGATAGTCTCGAAAAAAAAACATAAAAAATTAAGTTTTCGGTCCACTTCATCCCAAAAATTGTATCTGATCTTCACCAAAAATTATAGCCGATATCCCTGACCATACCTGGATCCTCATTGAACATTTCAAAGCGATCAGCGCTATATTTCCGCCCTCTAGTGTGGTTTTGGGTTACTAAATAATGTCTGAATACGTAAGCACCTGTAAATATTTAAGTGTAGCTCCCACATCTGCGTACATACGACCCTATAATTGGTATCAATTTAAAGGTCAACCACTTCTCTTGAACATACTATCAACTTTTTGGGTCTAGGTCCTTCAGGGGAAAAAATATACGCCATAGAATAAAAATGTTGTCATTTTTCACACAAAAGTCAGGGTCCATTTGACCCGCTAAATATTGACCGATCTTTATCAAAACAGGCATGCTTTCGAGGTGTTTGAGCCATAATTGCGGTCTCTGGAGCGACCAGAAAATCAGACAAAAATAAAGTTTTTGGTCCATTTCATCCCCTAAATATTAAATGATCTTTTCCAAAAACAATAGGGGTCTTCATTGGCCCGAACCCATTCTACATGCAAAATTTCTTGAAGATTGGTCCACAACTGTGGCCTGTATCGTGTTTACAAATTATAATGGACAGACGGACGGACACACAGGTCTAGATCGACTCAGCTAGTCGAGATATGATGATCGGTATACTTAAAGGTGGACCAATATTTCGCGGCGTTACAAACTTTTGGGGCTGCACAAAGCTATAATACCCTGACAACATAGTTGTGTAGGGTATAAATAAAGAAGATCTTCACCGATTGGCTTTATCCTAGTTCATACGATAGCTATACACCCACAGAGAAACGTGTAAAAATTTGAAATCGATTGGGTCATTAGTTTTTGAGTTATCGTGCCCGCCATTCACAAAAGAGAAAAACGCGTTTAAAGTTTGAGCAGTCCTTTAGCTGTCACTTGATGCTGACACAATAAATCGGCTATATCTTCAAGTTCTTGTTCTTGAGTTCTTGAGATTTTCTCTTGAAATTTTGTAGGGACATTCTTGAATTAGGGTAGATCCGAATTAAATCAAAAAAAATTTTGACCCCGAAAATGGGGGGGTCCCCTTAATATAATAACACAATTTTGAAGGAAGATTGGGGAACTTCAGAGGAGCAATACTCTTATAATTTATTTAAAATATCCTTTGAGGGACATTTGAGAATATTAGAATTATAACACATGTTCGATGGAAGATTCTGGAACTCCAGAGGGGCAATACTCTTATATTTTTATTTTTTAAATATCCTTTGAGGGGCATGTTGGAATATTGGAAAGTTTTTTTCTTTCTTTCAAAAATCTTCCCGAATTACGAATTTTTAATAGTTTAAATTGGAAAATTTTGAAGGAAGATTGGGGAATTTCAGGTGAGCAATACTCTTATAATTTATTTAAAATATCCTTTGAGGGACATTTGAGAATATTAGAATTATGACACATGTTCGATGGAAGATTCTGGAACACCAGAGGGGCAATACTCTCATAATTTTTTTTTTCAAAAATCCTTTGAGAGCAATACTCTCATAATTTTTTTAAATATCCTTTGAAGGACATGTTGGGGTATTGAAAAGTTTTTTTCTTTCTTTCAAAAATCTCCCCCGAATTACGAATTTTTAATATTTTTTCTTCAAAAAACAACCCCTGGCCGAATCACCAACTGCTTCCAGGGAACTCAATTCTTTCTTTTTTTAATATACATAGGAAAAAAATTGCGATCATAAAATATATTCACAAGAAAAAAAAAACAAAAATCAAATAAAGAAATTTCAAACTTCAATTCCATCACTAATTATTTACAAAATAATAAAAAAAGTATTACAAAAAAAAAATAAAATCCGAATCTACAAACAAAACTTGCATACATACACACACACCAATTTTAAAGTAGAGTTGTCTGCGTAGGTTAAATTCCGAAATAATAATAATAACATGAAATATATAATGGAAACAAAATATTCTAAAATAAATAAAGAAAAAAAATCATCTCTATTAAAAAAAAACTAAGAGAAGACGGAGAGAAGAATATTTAATTAGGTTGCGTTATCTATTTATAAAATAAATAAATAAATAACAAAACTAACATCTTTGTTCACAAAAATTAACACAAAAATATATATTGTTGTTAAATGCAAAAAATTAATAATTTTTAATGTAAACAACAACATACACGAAAATAAAATTAAATACCAACAACATATAATGCACTGTTTATTCATCGAATAATGAAAAATAACACAAAACGGAGAAGGAGAAAAAACACAAACAAAGAAGAAGATGAACTTATATTTAAAATTAAAAAACAAAATAATAAAAGAAAATTATTTAAAAAATATTAAAAAGAAAATGAAGATACTAATGTTATTTTAGATATAGACAAAAAAGAATTATAAAGGAAGGAAGTAAAAAAATTGAACATGAAATTAACAAACTATGACAAATAACAACAAAGAGAAGAGAAGGGAAGAGAAGAGAGTTAAAAAAATAATGGGTAATATATAAGAAAATAAATAAGTTTGTTTATTCTATATATAATATGTTTTATATATTTTTTTCAATTTATTCCGAATCCTAACAACAATTATGATTTTGATTCTACGTTTATCAAAAATAATTCTGACCCTATTCGATCTGTATTCTGAACCCATGTATTATTTAAAGAGTGCTATCAATATTGGATGTTTGTATTTAGGCCCCTAAGGAAATGAGGATTTTTTCAAAGTCCCCTGACTTTATTTCTAAAACCAGTGAGTGGAGCATATGATACCCTATACAACTTCGACGAAAATCTAACTTTCTATGGTTCTATATTCAGAGCTTCGCGATATTTGCACCCTCTAGACCGACTAGATGTAAACAAATATTTTTAATATTCTGTAGACGAGGGCTGTACTTGTCTAGATTCTCTTTACCGTGTTGTGATGTTGAGCTTTCAATTGTGGCCTGTAGATCGACTTGAAAAAAAAACAAGTGAAAAGGCGTTAAGTTCGGCCGGGCCGAACTTTGGATACCCTCCACCATAGGTATACTGATAGTTACTTGAAATGAAAATATGGGGAACATATCAACACGTATACCTATACGAACAATTATTTTTGTAAACCATAATGTATACCAAATACAAATTTGGGGGCTACCAAAAACATTGGACCTATATTTATAATTTTTTGTGGAGAAATTTGGAATCCAATAAGAACCCATTGTAGCAAATTTAAGCGAATTCGGTTGAAAAACGT